CCGCTCGGAGACGACACCGTCAAGGCGTTCGTCACGGCCCTCCACTTAATGATGGTGTTCACCTACTAGAAACAGGGCCTCGGGTGTTACGGGCGTTCGGGGTGGGGTCCAGAACGTCTAGTAATGTAACACCTGAGGAGAACAGTGACTCAGAAGTGGTTTCGAACATCGTAATAGCACTGCGAGGGTGCTGGGGGCAGTAAAGACCTCCTTCCGGACGAGCTTTTATAAAGCAAAGCGAGAGCGGGGCCTCAGTTGCGTTATGAACGGAGATCCCGGGACCTCTCATATATACGCTGATACTGACCACCGTTGGGTTTTGGCCGGTAAGAGTCCGGCATAACCTTTATGTTGCCCCCGCAGCAGAAGGTACCCATAAAGATTTCCCCATGATAAAATGTGATGTTCCTGGTCCACAGTCATACCCGTCAGGGGAATGTAAGTTCTATGCCATCAAAAACAATTGCAAGAAGCAATTGCCAAGTCAATCTATTTATTTAAAACATAAAAGATTTCTAATATTGATATGGTCACTATAAGATGTTGTTATGTAGCTAATTACGTAATAACTTAAGACAGAAGGACCCTTAAGTAGTGACTGAATAAATTAACCGACTTAGTATTACGTGGATATCTCACCACTGTTTACGATATAGGAACTGAGTTGCGGGACTTGGTTTTTTTACAAGTTATGTTTTTAATGGCTTCTCATTTCTTTTTGCAGATAGTCCTACTTTTTTCCTTCCGGTACCTTCTATTTCTTGATTACCAACAAAGTACCTATCTATACCTTTTATTCCATTATATTATACATATTATACAGTTATACTGATTCATTCACTGCAAATGTAACTTTGTAATCCTATATATTTATATGGGATTACAAAGTTATTTATGCTGTTAATTTATCTAAAAACTGGACCGTAATTGAAAAATATTTTAGTTTTTCCTTAATTTATACACTAAACACTAATTGTGTTCTAAGTTTGAAGCTTCTATGTCTGCTAGAAGTGTCTTAGAGTTTTGATGATCGGTCAGTCAGTGAGTGACAAAATTAAAAAAGAAACTTTGACTAATTATAATTCCTAAACTACTGGTTAAAATTAAATGGAATTTCAAATATACCGTATGTATACAATGCCTGCTTGGTTTCTGAAAATTTTGGTGTCTATCCGAAGCGAAGTTATAGCGTATAGTATTAAATGGCCTGAATTGCTTCGACAAAAGTATGGTATGGCCGTGCCGCTTTTTTTTGATCGACTTGGCGGGGGCACTGCCGTGCCCCCAGATTCCATTCTACTTCCATTTAAGAAAATGTTACCCCACACTAGGATTTTATCTTGTATCGTGGAGGCAGTTTACAAACATAAATTGCACTAGGACATACATTCAGGCCCAAAAAAATTATTTGTAGGTCATACAAATACTTCTTCCGTGGGGGAATCGAACCCACGGTCCCCAGCGCTACGACCCATTGCTAAGCCATTGCGCCACAGAGCCATCAAAATTTACATGGTCATTTCAATTTTATAAAATAATATCATCCGTAGCGTTCGCAAATTCTTTTAGGACACATTTTCTAAGCTCTCCTTTATAATTAATCCCATTAATTGTCTATATTAATTTTTATTTTAATGCTCTGATTACCTCGCGGTCTGGACTTTGAAGGGAGACGGAATTCGTTGACAGTGGCCCATGAAATTCAGTGGTGTCGTTAAACCAATACGGAAAAAGTCCCCGACATTTTAAGAAAAGATCGCGTGTTCATTACACTGCGTGAATTCTTTAAGTGAATATCTATACTTTTAAGTCTGTTGATTGTTAAAAGTTTGTTAATTGCTGAATGTATTTTATTAATATTGTATATGTATATTCAATTTAAATTTAATTAAATTATATAAAATATATATATATATATATATATATATATATATATATATATATATATATATATATATATATATATATATATATAAGTTTAGTATACATTAGATTTTTATTTTCCATAATATAATATAATTATGTATATTATTTATCCTAGTTATAATAACATATTGGGTATGAAAACTTGTGGATGTTGTTAATTTCTTACAAAATTTCGAATTGCACCTAATCTCACTGCACCCAGGGTTGATTCGTACAAAATGCCAATAGGCATTTAACCTGGCTTTTGTCCTATTTTATTATTAATAAGTCGTGATAAAGAATAAATAAATAAATAAATATTCCTTATATGAATGAATAAATACTATACATTATATGATCGGGAATGATGAAATTTAACTAATAACATGTAACTATTACAATAATACTCTTTAAAAAATTCTTAAAATTCTTAAATTTACAAAAGAAAAATTATTAAAAGACGTCTTGACACTTTGTCGTTGTTCACCGTTATTGGTATACCGTCTTTTCTTACAACATAGGGTCGGTTTCGAAGGGTTGAAATGGGGTTATTGTGATAATCCTCGGGAGAATCCCCGACAATCAGATAGGCGACAACCAGCAGTGTCAAAGTGCAAAATTTATAGAAATAGATCGTCAATCCGGGTGCTAAAGCTTGATGATTACGTCGCTAAAAAAAGAAAAAAATCAGGTGCAATGACGTGACGTATAATACTCGTTGCGATAATGGAATTGTGGCGCCCATAACGAAATCAAAGAGTGTCGGTCGCAGACGACAAACTACGAGAAAGCGGAGCGTTTCCAGTACATTAACCACTAATTAGAAGAAGGGGGCGCGGTGAGGGTGCCTTCAGAAATTATTATCATATTGCTACAGTATAACCTCATAGTTAAATTTATTAAAGAGCCTTGGTGGTACGGGGCATGGCGTCTTAAACTTATATTACGCAAAGTCTCGTCATCGTTCTGCAGTTCAGTATAGCGATTCTGCAAATTGTGTAACTTTGTTGCGAATCGTGGATAAAGTCTTTTGTAACTTTTACTTATAGGTAGGTTTTACGTATATACTCTAGCATCCACCAATTTGTTTATATACCGATTGACCTGAATCTATATAGAAATAAACATGTGAATGGAGTTTTAATATTAGTGACATCAATTGGTCTGTGTTTTCGTCGCTTACTTTGATTAAAGTTGTTCGATGCATTTAATAAGTCAGCACGGTATCACGAGAGACGTGGACGTGCTAAGAAGAATCAACCTATTTTATCCAGCTTTGTTAACCCTCTTCGCTCGAGGTGACCCCAATTGAACTACCTAACAATAAGTTTTCATACATCCTTTGGATGATCTTTTTTAAAATAGACCATAGAAAAATCTTTATTCCAACATTCCAACAAAAGTATCTTTGTATTTTGTTTGTAAAAAATTTAGCCAGAAATTTAGAAGAAAAATCTCATGTAAGTAAATTTAATTTTATAGTAAATAAATGTAACAATCCTTTTAATATATATTATATTAGACACAGATATTATATTCCTCTTTTCGATATACCTCATATAGTACTCACCAATTACAAAAAGATTTATATCAATTTTACCTATTACGAAGTTGAGGTTTGGGCGTTCTTCACTGCTTGTTTTATCCATAGGCACACGATACCTTCGTACCTTGTTGAACAAAACGCGTAAGCGTTGCCGTTTCGGCGGCGTTTACGACTTTTTCTCGCGAGCATTGAGCTATAATCTATAACGTTTCCTGTCTCATTTTCCCCACGTTAAATCTTATGAATTTATGTTTGTATCTGTCTCTTTTTACTGTCGCTTTTTCGTTTCGTAGACTTTCAAATCATAACGATGCTAAAGAAGTTTTCACTTCAAAAACATTCTCGCCGTTTTTAAATTGTTTTTCTGAACGCCACAATTATGAGTGAATCTAACGAAGAAATTCGACGCATTCTGAAGTTTTATTACAAAAGAAGGAAAAAATGCAACTCAGGATCAAGTCGCGAAAAATTTTTGTGATGTTTATGGACCTAATGCAGTGTCAGTAAGAGGAGCACAAAGTTGGTTCAAGTGTTATCGGTCCGAGAATTTTGATGTCAAAGATACAGCTCGCTCTGGTCGCCCTCATACGGATAAAGTCAATGCCATATTTGAAAAAGTGTTATGACATAGCCGAGAAATTGAGGATTGATCACAATACAGTTTTTATCCCATTTGAAAAAGTCTAGCTATACAAAAAAGCTCGATATTTGGGTACCACACGAGCTCACTGAAAGAAACCTAATGAATCGTGTACTCATTTGCGATTCTCTATTGAAACGTAATGAAACCGAACCATTTTTGAAAAGATTTATCACTTGTCATGAAAAGTAGATCACCTACGACAAGAACGTGTGACAAAGATCATTATCAAAGGTTAGTCAATCTATACAGACTGTAGCGAAACCCGGATTAACACGCGATAAGAGGATGCTGTGTATATGGCGGGATTGGAAGGCCATCGTTGTTCATTACGAGCTTTAACCTCCAGGAAAAACCATCAATTTGGATCTCTACTGCCAACAACTAATGAGGTTCAACCCATAAATTTAGAAAAAAACGGTCAGAATTGATCAACAGAGAAAGAATGGTCTTTCACCGTGATAACGCCAGACCACACATATCATTGGCCGCTCAACAAAAATTGAAAGAGTTTGTTTGGGAAGTTTTAATGCCCATATAGTCCTGACCTTGCATCCTTAGATTTTCACCTGTTTCGGTCTCTTCAGAGTTCTTTGGGTAGTGTTAGGTTAACATCAAGAGAGTTCTGTCAAAACTACTTGTCGCATTTTTTTTTAATCCAAAATCCCAAGATTTCTACAGCAACGGTATTATGTCTACCTGCAAGATGGCAACAAGTTATCAAACAAAATAGCACATATATTATATAATTAAACTATAAAAAAGTCTTGAATTTGTATATAACATACGAAGAAACTTTTTCCCCGACCTATTAGCTGTTAGAACGTAGCACACTTAATACGGTTAGCTGTGTTCCTGTCTCCCTGTTGTTTATTCCTCGTTCTATCTATCGTTTACTACTAATATACATTAGGCTCTTATGCTTGTAAGACACCATCGTACTGCATCGTACGCCTTTGCTTCGTTAATCGACATGAAACATGCCACAAAAATTGATAACTGTAAGTTATACACCAATCCTATTTAGTATTTACATAATATTTACAATTTACATGATTAAATTAATTCCTACAAAATAAAATTTAATTACTTACATAAATAAACTTAAATAGTAAATAAAAGGAATATGTTAATACAAGTATTTAAATATTTTGAAATATAAATCATATCGCGGTGAATTCTACATGTTGCGTCATCTAGCGAAATGAAATTGCTGGTTGGATGTTTGTTTTAAAATGCTGTGCTGGCAGAAAAAAATAAAAAATATCAGAATATTGTAAGTTAAATTATTGTTAGTTAGTTTAATTTTTGTTAGTTAAAAACTAGTTACGTAAACGTTATTTGACAATCAACTTACATATTAGGTTTGTTACAAAACCAATGAATTGATATCATATCAATTCATTGGTTAAAAGATAAAATAAATCACACAAAAGATAAAATAAATCAAGTTTTATTCAATAATAGATAAAACAAAATTATATTAGTATATGATAATTATTATATTATTAGAATTACCTGGCAGCGAATGTTCGTTAACGAATGCTACAGTAGATGGCGCACATAGGAAAGTATCCAGATAACAGCGCACGTTGAAAGGAAACAAATTATTATGTCATTTTTTATAAATTAATATCTGATTGCGGTACCATGACTACTTCAAAAACGTTTGTTAGCAGATTAATATAAGCAATTTTCGGGTGAGCCGGACAAAAGTAATTCGATATTAGTAAGTAAATACCCGAGATTTAACTAAGTGAAGTTGAAGGCTCTTTATACATTCACAGTCCACCCGATGGTGAGTGGATGCTGTAGCTTTTAGATACCTGTATCTATTGATTAGGAATCAAAATACAGACGCATGTAACCCTGTGGACTAAGATGGATGGCTTCGTTTCGACTAAAAAGGGTCTTCGACTCTACACTTGCCATACGAAACTCAGTGGTTTTAAGCTGTTAGGTTGCGCAAGTATTCTGTGAGAGTGTGATCCTTCCCTTATCGAGCTAATCCATTTGTGCTATTAACACTATTATCAGTAGTATCATATACTTATTATCACTATTCATCATCATTCCAGCCTATCATAAGTACACTGCGGAACATAAGCCTCCCCCAAGGAATGCCACGAAACATGAGTCTTGAGCCATCTGCATCGATCGACTTAAACTTCGCTTGCTAACTATTTACTAATGAGTAATTTATAGTAGTGGTAGATCTACTCGAACCTCACAACCATTTTTATAATTAAAAGAAACCAAATGTTCAAATAAAATATTCATACAAGGTATGGTAGAGCACCACGCTCTTATAGAAAACCACGCCAAGTAACCAGTAAGACAAAGTTTGTCACCCTTTTAATGTAAACTAAAAAAAAATAGCCGCCTTTTGAGACACCCACGGGATAAAATGGGACGAAAGATTCTCCTATATTCGTATATTCTATAAAAAAATAATATCCGAAGATAAAAATAAGACATCAAACTGAAATTTTTTTTCCTTTAAACAATAAAAAATCGCAATGTGTTGATCCGTATAAAACGCATCGCAAAAAATTTGACGAACTTTTGCAATTAAAAGAAATGGAGAAATTAGCAAAAGGGCGCCGTTCTCGAAATTACCTTAGCCCTTAGAAAGTTTAATTACTTTATGCATTAAGGGATGAATGCAATCAAATTTAATTTCCACTGAACATTAATGAATTTTCAGTGGTTGAAGTTTTTGGATTATTTCTGATAAAGGACGGCCGGTTGGAAACTTTTCTAATATACGAGAATGTGTGTTATTTTTTTATCACTTTTTTATAAGCTTCGCTTGTATCTACCTATCTATCTATGTCGTACGACAATATAAAGAAAGAAAGTAATTTAGACGACGTTTTTACAAACTTGTAAACGGCCGATTGACCTGAAAATTTGCACTCGTATCAAGGACCGATGACAATATAATGATTTAATAACTTTATCCTAGTATTGAATAAAATTATATTTGCCTATTTTATCGGTTTCGGGCGCTTTACAGTACCCATGGTCACGGGGTGATTGAGATGTTTGACGTCGTAATGTGTTGGGAAATAAAAATAAGTTAAAATAAGTTATTAAACGCGATAAAATCCTCATATATAGTTTTATTCAATGTGTAGTGTTCGCGTAAATTTAAGAAATCTTTATACTAGTATCTTGATCAGGATTACCAGGATAAAATAAAATACTATATTATTAATACGTACCGACATAGCGCCACGGTTGTGATCTCCAAGAGGGTTGGTAGAGTCTATAGAGCAGGGAGCTACTTGGACTACGTTTAGCCAATAAATATGGGTGAGATGAATTATTTAAGAAGTGATAGGTACTACCTATCACTTCTTAAATAATTCATCTCAACCATCCCATCTTATACACAATTACAAACTCAAAATCCTATTAGACGTCTATTACAACAATTTTAAAAAATTGTTTGTAGATGTTTGGTCTGCAACTTATCTGTGTAAAACGTCTCATAATTACAGAAGTACAAGTAGAGGGAGAAAATTATAATCAGAAATTATATTCCGAATCTTTATTTAACAGTTAAATTAAATTAAAATTAATTCTTCCTTCTTCATTTACTGCATAGTTTATGTTACTTACTCAAAGGATTATATTATGTTTGGGTTATAATTTATTGGCATAATACGTTAAACATCTGGGTTTTTCAGCGTTTGAACGGTTGACGAGTTCTAATAAAATTTAGCGTTGAAGTCGATAAGCCTATAACTTTTGCTAATAATACTTTTTAATACAATTATGACTACAATTTCATTAAATAATTTCAATTAACAACAAGTGAGACGAAAAATCACGCGGTGAGATCTTGAACCACACTTTTTGCAAATCAATCCTAATAACTTTAAGAAAAAACGTACACTACATTTCGTGTGCAAAACATAAGGGTGAATATACTTTTCAATACGTTGTGATTTTACTCGACAAAATAAAACAGTGTACCGTATCAATTGTTAGAGACACGGAGGGTTCCTTATGATTTATGTGCCGTTGAATTAAAATGTTGCGCCAACGGGGAATACTTTTATAGGGGTCGGCTTGCGTTGACACGCGGTAGCGGACTCAGGCCATTTCAAATCAAAGCCAAAAATATTTTCTCAATTAAGACTTGTTTTGAAAACTCCTGTAAAAATCTACAATTATTTAGTCATCTTTGTGGAATTAAAACTTATTGCGTCTGCGTAAGCAAAATTCATTCACATTTAAATTCATCTTGGTTATGATGCGTTTTATTACATATGAGGTGCATGTAAATACAGTTTATATTGCAAGCTATTCATTCAGCAACTTAGGATGATTTGAAATTTACGGGTTTAAACGATTCATAAATAGTTGAACTGTTATTTTGTTTTTAAAAAGGGGTTTTCATTCCCTAAATTTCCTAAAAGAAAGAAAAGAAAGAAAGAAAGATTTATTGCAGCACGCCACAAACATCAGTAGGCACTTAAATTTTAACATTTAGGGACACATCATTTATAAACATTATAACAAACAAAAAAAAAAAGGAAACAAGACAACAATTTGACGGATAAATCAATTTAAAAGTATGTATACTTATAGATTATAATTAAAATAATTATAATAATAATAGAAAGGCAAGCGAGTATGTTGTGGCGCGTCATACAAACGGACCTCACTCAGCTTAATATGCTGTCGCCGGAGCAACAGCGTTGGTTTTCAGTGAGCCCGAACGGATAGTAACGTACGGACGTCCGCGCGTGACACATAATAATATTTTAAAAGCTCGTAAATGAAAACGAATCTATGGTAGCGCTGCCGTCGCGCCTAGCGAAAGACATCGAGCCTAAATCGCGCTATCAATGTTCCGAAGTAAAACAGTAAGAAGCCTAAATCGCGTTATCAAAGTTCCGAAGTAAAACATATATATAGAATAGCTCCGAATTATATAGTGCAATAACCGGAGACACCTTGCACTGGTAATGGTAACGAGGCGTCCGTTCGGCGTAGATAGGTGTGGATGGGTTTTCTTTTGTCACATTTATTTAAGCAACCCTCCCCGGCTGCACCTGCATAGGATCTATTAATGTGGGCGTTATTTAAATTTAAGATACAAACAAATACAAATACATACAATACAACATAACAAATACTACTTAAAGTAACAATGATTATTTTTTTGGGATGAAATGAAGGCTAGATTCATTCTGGCATTGCTCTCTATCTGTTCGTAAAGTGTCATCAGAATAATTTCAAAGATTAGCCCGAATAGTCAGACAGGCAAAGCGAGAGACAAACATTTTAAAATGGTTGTGTATCGTACCACAAGTCGGGTCGTGTACTTAGTGTTGCCGTCATATATGGCCTGGTGCTGCAAAATGCTACCTAGTAGCTTTGGAATCAGTGAAAAGGCATGCTTAAAGGCTTATTGGTGACCCGAACTTGGTTAAAATCAATCTTACCAATCTCGAACACAGGCGCAAAGTAACCAACATTTTGGTTTTCTACAGGATGCATTTCGGAGAGTGTGCTCAGGAATTGCGTAATTTAATTCCTTCTTCTCCCTTCCACCATCAGACAACTTTCTCCACCCTTTCGTTGTTGACTTACCACGCATTCGAACCAGATGGTTTGCTATATCGTTCATCATCAGTACAGAAAAGGAGTGGAATAAGTTTCCAGCGTCTGTATTTCCATTCGATTACAATGTAGGTGTCTTCAGGGCAAAAGGCTTTTGTTAAGTCAGTGTGCTTCACCATTTTAGGCTACACCACCACTTACCATAAGGTGGGGTTGTAGTTAAGCGGTGGCTTACAATAATAATATAAAAAGTATGTCTTAATAGAATTCAAATTACCCCCTGAATTATTATATGTATTTATTAATTAAACCGCAGATATCATGCTAATATAACCACAGCCGACACGAAGTGGGGTTTAGATAAAACAGAGAGCTGTTAATACCACCATATCCAAACAAATCGCCGGCTCTGGCTGCCGACGTGTCTGCAATAGATTGGCTGGCGGATTAGCCGTTTACTCCATTGTTTTAATTAAAAGAACGTCTTCATTTTAAAGTATACTCCATAGACCTTTGGTGCGATAAAAATTGTATTAACTTTTAAATATAAGTAAGGTTTTAATTAAAAGAATTGGTTGAGTAAAGGAAATTTGAAATACCGATTAATTATCGGAGACTCCTATTTACTGGAAACGAAGCTATTTACTGGATAGTCCTCAGGGGTGATAATGCATCTGCATTTTGATTCTTCATTGAGAATGTATGTAAATGTCGAAAGGCCACAGCATTCACTTAGCATCAGGTGGACTGTGTGTATGTTTGTCTTATTATTACGTAAATACGTAAATACTACTCGATCTCAAGTAAGTTTTCATAGTAACAGAGACGAGATAAGAAATAAGAGTGTTTAATCTTAATGTTATGATGTTTTTCGTATTTAATTCTCGCTTGACGTTTCTGCTTACTTCAGCCTCGTGTGACGTCCTCTTCACTTATATTCAGATTCGCTATATATGGATAAGCTTCAAATTTTAATCGCCCTTTTTTGAGTATATCATAGAACGTACTTTAATATCCGATAGGTCTGGTATCATAATTACCAATCTGTATATACTATGAAAATATTTTTTATATGATAGGGTGAAAAACGAGCACACAGTCCACCTGGTGATATTTATTATTATTTAAAAATTTTGCAAGTAAGTTTACAACGTAGTAACGCGAAAATTCGGTATGTATTCTTTATTTAAGGGGTCATTTTTATATTTTTTATGTATTTTATACATCAAGCAAGTAGTTAATTTTTAATTGCTTTTCAAAGTTTTACTGTTTATGACCTAATAAAGTAGGCTGATGAGTTCGCTAACATTATCAAGCAAGCATTTAAAAAGTAATAATAAACACATAAATTCATATCGAAATTTTACATAGGTGACATGTTTAACCAAATTACAAATACGTTATAGACATTGTTTTTGACATATTTTATTATGAGTTGTTGAATTCAATTAAATAGTATAATAAAAATCGTCGTCTAAGTTTTGTTTATAAAATAGGTTTATATTTTTTCGATTTATAATTTAATTGATTCACATGTTTATCCTTTGGGTAGACTATTAATATTCTTGGGGGGAATTTTCTAAAGCATGAATTTATTTTAATTATTATAAAACAGTTTGTGCGAGAATATTCCGTAAATAAAAAAATGTTAGTAATTATTTTAATCAATTGTTTTTAACTTGACACATCCGACGACGTTTTCGTTTTACCCTTTGCAGATGAATCCAAAAAATTATAAAGCATGCAGCACTCACCCGTTCGCATGGTGCCGGTGCGTGCAGTTGTCTCGCTTGTCCTCGCCCCAGGGCCTCGCGCTTCCTCTGCGCACTAAACAGCCTCAGCTCCTTCCTCTCCTCGTCTGACAACGCGTGGCAGTAGCGGACCTGAAGATTGCCAGTACTTACTTTTAGTATATGCACGGTAATGATGATATGGGGTAAAAAAAGAAAGAAACATATTTATTTGACCAACACATAACATTAAAAAATATACAAATTCATAGTACTTTTTTGATTGGATAAGCGTCGCAAACGAGCACCTGATGGTTGGTGGATGCTGTGGCTCATAGAAATCTACATAAATCCCGATTAAGAATCAAAAAGGACTAAAATGGAATTCTTCGTTTTCAGTAAAGAGTGTCTCAGGTTCTCCACAATCACCAAACACAACAGTATTGAAGTGCTGTTTTACGCTGGTAATCTGTAAGAGTGTGGTCAAATCCCAGGTCTAATTGACCCATTCGTGCTACAGCCATAATAGAGCTGTGGCGCGGCTCTACCACGTAGACCCCAAGACAAGAAACCCAACCATCCAGTAATCAGTATATAATGTCCTCCAGACCGAATATTGGCCACGGCAGCCTGCCTCATGCAGGCTAGCCATCGGCGCAGGACAGAATTAAAGTGCCCAAGTGTATGCGCAAGCACAGGTGCACTCTTTATTCTCTCACTCTTATAATCCGATGGGACGGTAAACCGACACGACCGGAGGGGGATCAGGCGCAGGACCAACGGCTTTACGTGCTTTCCGAGGCACGAGGGTGAGACACCGCCAACTTCCTGACTCCGGGCAGCTACTGAGAGTTTCTTGACAGAAAAACTCAATAATTGATTTTTTGGCCCGACCCAGGATTCGAACTCAGGACCTCATGATCAGCAGTCGCACTACTACAAGCACTAGACAAACGCAGTCAATAATCAGTATATATGTCGAGTAATCGTTTCATTGTTGCCAGTGGATATCGGACATGCGTTTATAGTGAATTTTAATTTTCATCATCATGGCACATACCTCATTGTCCTGGGGTGGAAGTTGTTGCAGCAACTGCTTCAGTCGATGTCGCTCGCCCACGCTGTTTACGTACGGCACTTTGTCTTCTGGAATCGTCGAGAAGTACAAGTGGACCTAGAAGCAAATGAAATGTTTTTGTGAGTAAGAGTATATATAATAAGCGAAACATCTGTGGCGGGGCTGTCGCCGCTTCACGAACGAAGTGCACCGAGCCTAAATCGCGCTATCAAAGTTCCGAAGTACTGCAGTATATGTAGAACATCTTTGAATGTAACGATGAAAGACATGAAAGCCGTAAAAGTCAAGAAGGCTTACAGCACTAACATCTCAGAATAATATAATAATAATAATTATTATTATTTGTTGAGAAATGAGGCCTTAAACATAACACCATGTTATCGTAGATTAATTGTAACAAGATAGCTAGAATAAGGGACTTATAGATAATATAATAATAATTGTATGTATGTATATAATAATTGACTTATAGTTGATCGCCTGACTTTCATGCTAGGATAACCTGTGTTACGAAAGTCAGTGGTTCGGCTCCTTAAAAGGTATTCTATATAATAGCATAGAGAGTTGTTTTAATTAGTGATTACATTATGGCGATCATTTGAAAGAGCGAGAATAAAGATACAATCACCAGTAGCGTTGGCTACTCCTCGCGACAATCACCTTGCCCGGCGGGAGATCTCCCCTTTCCTTCCACGATAAATTCCTCTTAATTATTTGCGTCGTGAATCGTATCGCTTTCCTGCTTATTTCATAGAAGTAGGGTATATTATTTCTAATCTATATACAAATAAATAAAATAGAAGTATCTGTTTGTAGTGTCAAAATAACAGCTTTTTACTTACTAAATGCATGTGGAAGTACCAGCTGTTTCTCGCGACTTCACCCGCGTATAATTTATTACGATTGGATTTCATGGATTTATATTTTTTGTAAGGAACCCTAATTCTTTTCCTAATCAGCTATCTGCCAGGGAAAGTTCCGTGAAAATTGTACCAATCATTTCGGAGATTAGCTGGATCAAACAGACAGACAAAATGTTTAAAAATAGTATTTTTTTTTGTTTAAGTACCGTACCTATATACTTTCATATGCATTTAGTAAAAAGCTGTTGTTTTGACATTACAAACAGACAGTTCAGTTTTATTTATTTGTATACATATACGGTACTCATAACAAAAATACAATTTTTGAAATATGTGTCCGTCTGTCTGTTTGTTCCGACTAATTTACGAAATAGCTAATGTTATCCTAAGCTGCTTTTATTTTTGAAAAAGAATTAGGGTTCCGCGCAAAAAAATTTCAACCCATGAAATACAATCGTAATAAATTCCACGCGAGCGAAGTAGCGGTGAACAGCAAGTTTGGGAACAAAACGCATTCCGCGTTTTTATATTTCTTATTTAAAAAAAAATAAAACTTAATATATTTTTGATTTAAAAAACTTTATCCCCACTAGCGTTTTCTTCTGAATCGTGGAGGCAGTTTACATACAAAAATTGCACAAGGACAAACATTCAGATCTAAAACAATTATTTGTAGGAAAAACAAATACTTGTCCCGTACGGGATCCGAACACGCGGCCCTCGGTGATGTAACTCCATGCTAAGTCATTGCACGACGAAGTGGGAGTTTTGAGGGTTAAGATTTAATGGCCGGTTACTAGTAAAAAGGGTTTTAATTTTTTTACACTCACCAAACACGGCATTATTATGCTGCTATTTTAGGGTGGTATTCTGTGAGTTTGGTCCTTCCACCGTTGAATGATGGGTCGGCCATTACTTTGACAACTATAACTTAGCTGTAGTGTGGCGTTAGTGTAATTTAAAATGCCTATTATAAATTGTAAATGCGTATTCCGTGATTGTTTTTATGCCTTCCCTGATACGTTTTTCGTGTACATTATTGTTATTATGTAAATGTTTGATTACTTAGCAATTTGCTAGGGAGACAGTGGGAAAATTCAAAGCGAATATTGTACTTAATACCTTAGACATGACTCCGAATTTTAAATTATTAAATTAATGCATGAGTACATTTCTGAAGAAACAATACATTAACTGTATTCCTATATCCCTATATTAAGATGGTTGAAGGTGTCTAGGTACTGTATGTGTACATGAACATCTCTTGAAACAAGATATAGTTTCATGATAAGAATTATTTCTTGTTACGTGCGTTGTATAATTATGGTATGTATGTATATGTTAGGTATATGTATATATATTTATATATATTATATGTATGTATATTTAAAGTTGTTATATATATTTGTATCTATATTTGCATAGTTTGAATCAACATACTTTGGTACCTATATAATTTTTTTCCAAAGATCATAAAGCAAGTTTACACCTGCTATGATAGCTCACCACACTACGGGTTCACTGCCAGAGAATGCCGAGAGGCATTAAGTCCGCCCATTGTTACCTTAGTTACAAGGTGTAACAATTAAGAATAAATAAATAAATAAATAAAATACTGTGCTGTCTAGAAATCTGTGTATAAGGTGTTTTCAGTTTTTCTATTAGAGGTCCAGTAATGATTTTGGCAATTTTTCTACCCTCCCCTTCCCCCTGGTGAGATGTCATGCTCATGAGACTCTCTGACTCGACCCCTCACCTGATAATATGCGTATTAGTAAAACGTTAATCTCTGCTTGATTGCGTTGGTTTATTTTAAAAAAAAGAAATGTAGTTTGCTTTATTATTTTTATATAATTTGTGGAGTTTGCATAAGCACGATTATTATGTAGCATTTAGCCATAATTTAATTTATTTAAACCAATTTCACACGAAAAACATCACGTGATATTTGCCGAAGTCCTCGCTCGCCTCTCCTGAGACTGGGTGAGATTCGGCTCGACCCCCTTCCCTCCTACGACACTCATGTGGCGATATGGGGTAGACTATTCTTACATTGCCATTACAAAGTTATGTCGTTTATGCCTCTCGCTTATGTCTTATTATTGACTTTTACGGGATGAACATGATTAACGGATTAGTAAACTGAAGTGGCAGTAGGTGGCAACCGTTAGGGAAGAAAGGTTATTTATTTTTTATGCTTTATTTGCACACTGAGTAACAAGGCGTTCTCTGCCAGTCTACCTCCAGGCTAAGCAGAGAAGATATAGTGGGTGGAAAGTGCAACTGAGTTAAAATATCTATAAGTATCTAGTCATACACATTACATATTGCATTACATGTCATAAACATAATTATACATATATATTATTATATAGATATACATACAAGATATATTCACATATAGTAGGTTGCACTAAAAGTATCGGGAATGGAATATTTCCACTGTTCCTGTCATATTAAAATCTTTTTAAATGAAAACTCCTTGGTTTTAAAAATCGAATACCTATTATTTATTTAAAAAAAGATTCTCGGTCTTGTCACAAGAATTTGTCAAACCTGTTTAGTCGTTAAGAAAATGGAATTGACTCGAGAAAATTCAAGAGCGATGATTTATTATGACTTTCAAAGTGTTTGACACAAAAACAGTGTGTTGACCAGATGATTTCTGCATTTGGTGATGAAGCCCCATCCAAAACCACAATTTATCGCTGGTTTGCTGAATTTCAACGTGGACGTGTAAAGCTCAGATAATCCCCTCTCCAAAAACTGCAGTCACCCAAGAAAACGTTGATGCTGTGCGTAAGCTGATTGAGGAAGATCGACATGTGACATACCGCGAAATTCAGGCAACTTTAGACATTGGCATGAGTCAAATACAAATAATCTTGCATGAACAATTAGGTGTAAAAAAGTCGTTTTCTTGATGGATACCGCATTCGCTCTGTTAAGAGCAAAAAGCGGCTCGCGTTACTTGGTGCGTCAGAACTCTCGAAAGATTCCAATCAGGATCCTCAAATGCTGTATACAACATCGTATCAGGTAACGAATCCTGGATATACGCGTAGGAACCCGAAACAAAAAACCAGTCACGTGCTTGGGTGTTCGAAAATGAGTTAAAGCCAACAAAAATTGTTCGTTCACGGAGTGTAGCCAAAAAAATGGTGGCCACGCTTGTCGCCAAAACCGGCCATGTTACGACTATTCCTCCTTGAGAGACAAAGAACGGTTAACGCAGAATAGTATGCTAGCATTTGTTTGCCACAGGTCGTTTCTGAACTCCGTAAAGAGAACTGCAACCGCCGCATCATCCTCCATCACGACAATGCGAGTTCTCACACCGCACACAGAACAAAAAGAGTTTTTAGAGCAAGAAAACATAGAATTATTAGACCATCCGCCGTACAGCCCCGACCTAAGCCCTAATGATTTCTATACTTTCCCTAAAATAAAGAATAAATTGCGTGGACAGAGATTTTCATCACCTGAAGAAGCTGTGGACGCCTACAAAACGGCCATTTTGGAGACCCCAACTTGCGAATGGAATGGCATGGCGAATTGAAGCAACAATGATTAGTTCCATCGTATGTTAAAATGTGTCAAATTTCGCGGGGAATACTTCGAAAAGCAATAAATATATTTTCAAATAGTAATGTTGTGTCACTTCCTTGATTCCCGAAATTTTCAGTGCTACTATACAAATATATGCTTAATTCTGCCTGTGTGTATATATGCACAGCAGACCACCCCCACCCGAAACTTCACCCCCCCACCCAATATATATATAGTACACACATAATTAGGTATAGCTGTTTCTGATTCAAACACCTATAAAATATTTGAAATAAAAACAGGAAAAGGGAACAGTTAGATTTTAAGGATATAAAAAATGTTAATCGAAAAAAGGTTCTCGAGTGACAACTTCGTACCGGTAAGCGAAGTTTAGAGCAGCCCTCGACTATATGGACGTCCTGGTAAGACGCGCAGGAAGAATTTACTTACGTGGTAGAGCCAAGCTGCAGCCATATTAGTAGTATAGTTGTAGTACGAATTCCTCGACCGGGGAAGGAACACGCTCTCACAGAATACCAGCGTAAAATAACAGCTTAACGCTGCTGTGTTTCGTTTTGTGAGAGTTGGTTCAGAGACCCTTTTTACTGGAAACGAAACATTCCCTGTTGTTCCTCACGGGTGACAACGCATCTGCATTTTGATTCGTAATCGAGGATAGATGTA